TGGAATCGTTGTTTGGTGACAAATACCAGACAATTTCAGCAGCTTGAGCAACCTGTTGTTGACATATTCAGTTCCATTGTCAGTCCTCAGAGTCTTGATTCTATTTCCCGTCTGATTCTCTACCATATTCTTGAATTCTTGGAAAACATCGTGTACTTCTGATTTGTTTCTTAGGAAGTAAACAAATACTTTGTGGGTGAAGTCGTCCACAAAAGTGAGAAAGTATTTTGATCCTCCCAATGAATTTTCCTCCATAGGACCACATAGGTCTGAATGGATTAGTTCCAAGGGTCGGCTTGAGTTCTTGACATGTGGCTTAAATGGTAGACGGTGTTGTTTGCCCTGCACACATACCTCGCAAGGTTCACTCAGCGAATTTTTGAAATTCGTTCCCGTAACGACCCCGTTTTTTATTCGGTTCATGCTGTCCGTTGACGGATGGCCTAGTCTGCTATGCCATAGATGTATATTGTCAGCAACCGATACTGAGTTAGCACCGTGCACCTTATTTTTCGGTCGATCCAGTTTGTACATGCCATTCTTCAGTGTGGCACTGGCGATGAGGGCGTTGCTTTTGTCGTATATACTGCATTTACTGCTCTCAAAGTAGACCTTGTGCCCCTTATTGGTTATTTTGCTTACAGACAGCAAGTTTGTTGTCAAATCTGGCACAAACATAACCTCTTTTACGTTTATTTTGTCAGGTGTACCACCTGTACAAACGTCCAAATTTACCTCCCCCACTGCATCGACATTTAGACGATTTTTATTGGCTACTATAATTTCCTGCGTGGATGAAGGAGGTTTGCTTGCGGATGTCAGCCATGTTTTGTCGTTTGTTAGATGGACCGATGCGCCGGAGTCGATATACCATTCATTTTTTTCAACATGATCGTTTCCCGTTGACAAGACTGTTAAGAAGGATTTCGCTTCCTTCGTGTTGGAAGATTTGCCATTTTCTCTCTGCAGGCGAGCCTTTCGTTTAAAACAATTCTTCCCGAGATGACCAATTTTATTACATTCAAAACACCGTGGCCCATTTTTAGTATAGTTCTTCTTTTCGGCGTGGTTTCCGAAGAACGCTACTCCATTTTTGTTTGAACTGCTTGTATCGACCTTGACCTCTTGTAATAGTTTCACCTTGATGGAGTCACTGGTAATGGCGATACCGGAGCTTTCTAGTCCCATTATCATTGGGCGATAATGGTCTGGCAATCCAGCAAGTAATAACGTCCCGAGCCATTCATCACTTACAACAAAACCAATATTCGTCAATTTATGTCCTGTTGAAATAATCTTGTTAACGTACTCTTCTACGGAATCACAATTATCCAACTGAGTTGTGATTAAGGTACGTAACAGGCCAACTCTTCGCGTAAGTCCGTTATCGTCGAAGGCCTTGATTAAATTTTCCCATGCCTCTTTCGCGGTCTTCGCATTTTGCACGTGGACATAGTTTATGGGGTGTATCGACAGGATTATTTTGGCCTTAGCCTTTGCAACTTGTTTTGCCGTAGTGTTCGTACCCTCAACACATTCCCACAACTCTTCATGCTCCAAATATGTTTGCATTGCGAATTTCCATGAGTTGAAGTTTTCGCGCCCTAGTAGTTTTTCGATCGGTGGTAGCGTGGACGCTGCCATTTTGTTGCCGGAACACAAAAGTTTTTATCACTAAGATATATCGGATTCACCTTATTTTTACACGCGGCCAAACAATCAGCAGTACCCTGGGCCCATAACCTGTAGCAAGGTTTTGCTTTATCCAGTGGAATTGATTGTTTGGAAATTATAGGTGAATAAAACTGAACGAAACGATTGAAATGTGTATTGCAACTTGGTGGTACATCAACTGAACTTACAGTGTCAAGTGCGCACATGCGCAAGCTTATGTCGGTAATACAGTTAGCAAAAGGGTAGTTTTCTATAATATCAACATTTACAAAGGTAAAAAATCTCACTAAGTAACTGAACAACTTTAAATACAGAAAATACCTACTTAATAAAAAAGAAAGGGGACAAAAACCAGAATAAGATGCAATAATAAAACACATGGTCTTATATTTGAAAAAACTGAATTATGATACCTGAAAATTAAAGCCCAACTTTATTGATACAATAAAGCTCGTATCTTTATGAAACCATCCATTGCTAAAAAATTTCAAGAAAATTGGAATACTTAAGTTAGCAATGTCGCATGCGAATTTCGAAAATGAACTAAAATATGTTTATAAAATCGAAGAAGAAGTACGTCAGAATATATAAAAATATATAGGGTATTCTATTTGAAAAAACTAATTTGCGTATTGCACCTTAAAAACAGAACACTGTAGTTGACAATAATTTAGATATATGTATACTTAATCCTCAAAAAACTGTGCAACTTCAGACTTTTTTTTTAATTTCTAATAATAATTTATAAAATATTAAGAAGCGCGGGCTTAGCGGGCCCATCTCCATATCCTAAAACACACGTGTGAAGAATACAAACTTGAATCTTCAAGACGTGGTGTGATATTGATTATCCAAATTTGAATAGATACTTAGTTGTTCACTCTGCTAGATCGAAGTTATGTACTTTAACTTTACATATAAAAGTAGGTACATGTAAAGTTTGTCCAGAATTATAAGAATTTTATGGACTCCCAACGTTAATTCGTTTTACAGCCCAGGCGTCAATTCTATTGTACAGGTAAAGAGCCTGTCAGGGGAAAGCCGATGTTTTCTGTACCTGAATGCGCCCCGCTCTTCGGCTGTACAATAAAATTGACAACAGGGCTGTAAAACGAATTAACTTTGGGAGTCTATAAAATTCTTTAATTCTAGACAAACTTTAACGTTAAGTATCTTTTTCGTTATAGTAGACCAAAAGCTATAAGGTTATATGGCCATCATAAAATTATCCCATTGTGTCGAAGTTAAGTTGTTTCAATAGAAAAGGTTTTAGGGTCGTAAATAATGTGTCCAATGCAGCTCGACCGGCTGTTGAGGTTCCGTTCAGGGGCGGCTTTCATTAAATTTGTAAATCCACCACTCCATTATTTCTTTACTACCTGCGGCCGCTGAGGGTTCCGAAATAACCACTCGCTTTGAAAGCCGGCCCTGTTAAATGTGAGCAAGAAATGTTTAGAAGACGACTTATTGCCAACCGGTAGACTTACTGCGAACCACACAAAGGGGGTATTTATTTGCGGTCAACTACTTTTATGATGGTCATATAACTTTATAGCTTTTGGAACAGTATACATACGTTTATAGGCATAAACATTCGTTTTTGCTTACTTGCTTTTGTTAAACATAGATTAATCTAACTCCTGTATACAAACCATTATTCTCATTGTTAAATACCCACAAGACTTACAATTTTTATGTCAATAAAAAGAAATGTGTGGCAATGTCATTTGGACTGAAATCTTCGGAAATAGAGTGGAATTATAGAATAAAGGAGTATTTACTGAGTAGACCACAGACTGTGACTGACTTGGGCGTTATATTTGATAAGAAATTATCCTTTTCAGAACATGTTGAGATGACGGTGAACACAGCACTGAAAGTCTATGGATATATAGTTCGCAATGCAAGGGAATTTTCCAATTTATCGACTTTGTTAAATATTTTTAATGCGTTTGTAAGGAGTAAACTTGAATATGCGTCCGTTGTTTGGTTTCCTCATTACAAAAATCGTGTTGACATACTGGAAAGAGTTCTCCGTAGATTTCTCAAATTTCTATCATTTAGAGCTGATGGAATATATCCTCCGATTGGATATTCTCAATTCAAACTTTTAGAAAGGTTTTCGGTTCTGAGTCTTTCTGAAAGAAGTAAAACTGCTAAGGTAATATTCCTGTTTAAATTATTAAATTCAAATTTTGATTGTCCAAGCTTGCTTTCGCAGATAAAATTCCATATCAAATACAGATCATATGGTCCTAGATATACATCTTTGCTATATCTACAGACACCGCGTACGGAAATTTTAAAATACTCACCACTGCAGATGATGTGTAGGATAGGTAATTATGCAAGTCAACATGTTGACTTATTTGACACCACGATCAACGAGCTCAAGAGGCTTAGTTTTTCTGACATATCCTGAAGTTTTATGGAGAGTTGTTTTGTATATGTATTATCTTAAATTTTCTATATCCATTTGTATAACGGTTGTATGTTCTGTAAATGGAGGTAACTCTGTTGAACATACTGAATAATAATAATAATAATAATAATAATATTTACTAGTACTGCAAAAATGTTTCAGTTCTGTGTTTGCCTTTTTGCTATGTAGTTGTTAACTACAACTAAAATTATGACATTTTATATATGTACTTTAACCTCATTTGACATACACCTGTTAAAACTTTTATGACTTTAGCGGCTTCAGCCAAAGTACCCTTATAAGTCAAACTTGCTATTCTAAGCTTTGTGGACTCGAACCGCAAGATTATTACTGTTCATTGTTGGCATAATGTAGCTGTGAACTGAGTTAAGTAATACAATAGTCAGTTTGACTTATAAGGGTGGTTTGGTTTAAGCCGGTTAAGTCATAAAAGTTTTAACAGGTGTATGTCAAATGAGGTTACTTTATGTACTACTGACAAAACGTCGAGGTCAATGACTGCTACACAAGACGTTTAAATATATGTATAGCGCTAACTAAACCGTTTACGTGTTTTTTATATATAAAAAAAAATCACAAAAATAGTAAATCTTCTGCTAATGGCTCATACCAAATATCACTGATTATCGGAAAAGTAAAATTTTATTTTATTTCATGAAATAACCGCGGAACCTTAGTTACTGTCCACGTCTATTTAAATCAACTGATCATAAAATCAGTTCAAAATGGTTCTGCTGGTTCCTGAAAGTTAGTTTTTCTTTTCGCAATATCAAGGCGCAAAAAAATGGAAACCATTTCAGTAACCAAGTGTTAGATTTTTGTTTCCAGTTACATCGTGTTACACTGGGACTTGAAAAAGTGGAAGGATGTGTATAATTAATACTCACAATACTACATATCTATTCAGAACAGAAAATAAACTGGCATTACATTTTTAATCAAAATTTTATTAATTTTTTTTTAGTTATTCCTATTAGATATAAAAAACAAACACTTTTCTATTTCTCTCCCTAAAATAACACAGAGCAATTTGTCAATAATAATTAAAACAATGAGAAGTGAAATGTTTTTTAGTGGTTTCGAGACAATAACAACGTCAAAAAACGTGGTAATACGGAAGAATGAAATCGTTAACACAGAAAACCTAGAAACATTTCACGTCGCATTTTACATTCCCTTCGTTACTAAGTTTATGCGGGAATTTTACAGTTATCAACAGATCAACTAAAAACTGCCATGAAAGAACGTGAAATTAACAGAAATGACGCGACAGAAAAGGACAGGTTTCTCTGAAGTATTGTCCATTTAATGTACACTTGGGGCAGTCAAACAGTGTATGTACACTGCACTTTGGTTATTAACACATAACTATATTAACAATTTAAATGATAATAAAAATATTCTGCTCTGCCTTATAGTTACAAGGGGGGTAATGGTTCATTATTATACTAGAGATACTTACAACTTAAAACCTACTGCATAAATAAATTAACAGGGCAACGAACAAACTTACTTTGAGAACTGCAATTAAATTATACAAATCGAGAACACACTTCGTTCCAAACAAAAAAAACAAAAAATAATTAGAATTAAAATTTCGTCGCTGCTTTGACAGAATTTGAAACATGTTGCGTCGTTTTTACTATATTTGAGGTAATGAAACAACGCATCAAACAAATAGTACAATAAAACACTTTACACGGCGATGATGAGAAAGATAATGGAGCACTTTCGCTAGCCACGTATTGAATCACTCACACAGTTCAGTTTGTAAGTACTCTCTCAGACGCAGGTAATAAAAAAAATAATAATAATTATATTAATCATAAATGAGAACACGAGGACACTGCTAATATGCAATATGTACATTTAAGGAATGAAGGCGATTACTTTTTTAATGACGAGGTAATGAAAAATGAATCGCCGCAGCGATGTGTTTACTCGTCTTCTTCCTCTTCAGCTTCTTCATCTTCTTCGTCTGCTTCATCATTCTCAGGTACTGCAGCCTGTTGGGCAGGCTGCTGATTGATCCTCTTTTTGTATGCAGTCATTTCCTGTGACAATCAAAACGAGTTGGTAAAAAACTATAATGTGGTAGTGCACGCATATTTCGTCTGTTGTGTTACGCATCAGCATCAAAAATTTTAACCATATCAACTTTTACTTTTACCACTACGAGTTTTAACATAATAATGCAATTAATATATACATACAGACTATTTGTTTCATAAAAGATCCAAAACTTATTGAATTCTGTAATTCTGTTGGCAACTGCAAGTGACTATTAGAATTCCGCATAGCTTTCGTACCTTAGGTTAAAAAAAACAGTAGCAATTTAATTATAAATGTAGTACATCAAAAAGTTGCTGAAGTGAATACATTGTCCAAAAACAAAGATTTATTTCCTGAGATCGGCGGAGCCCTATTTTCACACAAACTCCGAACGCTGCGATCTGATATTTTTGTCTAGGTCTTTATTCTTTCCATGCTCAATTAGAAACAAAGGGAATCGTCAAAAACAGATCGTGATCAATATTTGAATCAAAGACAAAGACATTGAAGTAGATTAATGTTATTATTATTAATATAAGGACAAAAACAGTGCATGAGGTGTTTTCACGGAAAACACCGGAAACACTGATTTAACGAATGCGATCAGTATGAATAGCAAGCAAACGAAGTTTTGTAAACATTTACCAAACGCACTCATGGAATCTATGTTTGTTAAAACGTTGGAACGACGACGTTTAGTATAATTTGCAGTAGTTGTCGGTTTACTGAACTGTCGTTACATCGTTGAACTCAAAAGACAGATTTCAAAGGATGTATTTCGATAGTTAATACAGGTCAGAAAGTGATTTTACAGAGTTTAAAAACTAGATAGTACCTACGTCAAGCGAAGTAATGTTGGAAATGTAGAACCTATTGAATGACTGACTGATGGCAAATTTAGATATCGTGAACTACAAGTGTGTTCTAATTACTGCCTTTTTAATCACATTCACAGATTTTTAAAAAAATCTTTTAGTACATATTACTAAATTAATATATCGGATGTACTACTGTTAAAAATTTTTTTCTTCCACATTTTCTGAATTAAACTGTTCGGTATTTAGCTGCCGATAAGTACTCCACTTGAAAAATCTTAAAATGCTTAGACCATTTAGCACCGTCCGGAATTTACAGTGCCACGAAAAACAATCAAAACAGGATGGGAACTTTGTGCGACCCTCGTATCCGTAGCGATGACCTAAATTACATGGAAAGATTCAGACTTCGTCGCAGAATTTTGTTGTCTGGAAGACAACATTATTTTTAAAAGTCTTATAAAGATTTAAATAGTCAAACGTTACATCTGAAGTAAACTTTTATTTTTTCGATATTTGATTTTCTAAAGAAAGATCATTATATTCTTAATTTTTAAGAAACCAATAGTTGTCTTTACAATATTTAGTGTATATTTTTGGATTCCACTAAATAAGTCCACAATTTGGTTTATAAATTTTTAGATCTGACGTGCATAAAAATATTTTCTTATATACAAAAATATCCATCCCTCGGGAGAATAATTTACTTTTTGTAAAAATCGAATCTGCCATTCTTACAATATATTTAAATGCAGCGTTAACAAGCTTTCAAAGTCTGTACAACGATGGTAAATCCCTAATTAATATTATCCGTTTATCCCCTCTAAAAATTTGATGACGCCATTTCAAAATTTTATATAACCGTAAAAGTGCCATAAAAATATTAATTCTCAGAACTAAAGTTTATAATTTTTCTATGAAACTTCTGGAACAAGGCAAGTTCTATCCACATAATTTTAGACTAATTTTAATTTATGTAAGTAATTTTGATATAATTGATCTCGTTTTTAGAATCTTCCTGTGGGCGCAACTGTCTCGAAAAGAAATGTTAAATTATCCATCAAAAGTTGCATGGAACTTCTGACCGTTAGAAAGCGTCTGTTATAACATTCAACTTACGCTGAAATGATAAAATTATAAATACATTTTTAATCTAAGTATTAAAATATTTGTAAATGCAAGGATCTGAAAGCAAAATGGCAACTTCCGCAATACTAGATCAATTAGAAAATAAAGCTCAATACTATAATAGAAAAAAGGCCTGCAATATTTTTTAAAAAGAGAAAGTTGTTTAATTAAACTGCAAGTGTACTGAAAAATTAGTTAACATGGATTCTGTAAGTTATATTTTTTATAAACAATACTCACAATTACCATTTTTTGAGTCTTCTTGAGCCAAACCGAAATGTTAAATTGTATTACTATCTTTCAGATAGTAAGAAAACCGTTAGTGCAATTTGTAGAAATGATTTAATAGCCAATCACACATCAAACCTTGCAGTTATTTATAACGAACATTATCTACTATCGCAAATCGAATAATTTAATAAATTATTTAAATTTTAAAATCTGAGAATACGATGAACTTTCTTAATGATCATTAATTTTAAATTAATTTGGGCAGGTTGTATCGCAAAGAAACAAGAACATGTGAATTTTGCATTCATAGCAGTCCTTTTAAAACAGCTTTATGGTATTAATTTAAAAAACCACCAACTGGAAAATGACGCAAATTTAATATTTTGCAGTAAATAATAGCAGACAACGTTTACTTCATTGTTAAATTCATTCCATATTATGTTGTAACAAAAAGTAGCTTTTGCGAATGCACAACACAGACGGTTAAGTCGTTAAAATAACCAAAGAAACTTCAAAATACCTTTTCATAACGAGCTTTGTCCTTATCAGCCAAAGCCTCGTACTTGCTCTTGACTTCAGGTTCGGCATCTGCCCACCTTCTTCCCAATTCTTTGGCGATGTCTCCAACGCCGAATTCGGGATTCTGAGTCTTGACTTTCGCGCGTTCGTCGTTGCTGAACCAGAAGAATGCCGACCTAACATAAAAACGGTTTTAAAATAAACCCTCTAGTGCACATCATCTTGTAATAGTCACAAATCAGATTGCTGACGGTGTCATCAAGAAATTATAGCAAATAATAATAGAATCAAATGTCGGAAAACCTTTATCAATTTGTCCCAAAGTAGAGGAAACAAACCCTTCGCTATTTTCCTGACGATCTAGCACAGGATTATAACCGAACAACTTTACAGTTGCCGACTGATCAAACTGTGCAGTGGTTGATGTTTAAAACAGTCAAATACAAAACACTTACAACGAGCGTTTCGGAGCATTGGGATCCTTGTTTTGTTTTCGTTTCTTGCCCCGTTGCTTCTCTCCTTTGGGAGGAGTGTAGTTTTTCATTTCGTCGTCGTAACGCTTTTTATCGTTCTCTGCCATCTCGTGGAAGCGTTTCTTTTCCTTGTCCAGCATGGTCTGCAACGAAAATACACATTGAATTAACCGAATCGTTCAATCATCGTTAAATTTTAATCGATACAACAATTTTAAAAGGGGACTTGGGTTAACCGAATTGAACGCTACTTAATCTTTAAATCTTATTAAATATTTAGAGTATTGACGTGTACGCCTGTAGGATTCGTGGTCATAATTGATAGTTATACTTCGAAATTTATGATGTTACAGATTTTTTTTGAGTTGATTATACTAGTCTGAATGGGGAATAATACAAATACAACGCGATGTAACAGACAAACAATATTACATCGCATGCGAACAATCTGTAGATCACTCTCATAGTTTCATTTAATTTTTATTTTTTGATAATATTTACTTGTATTCTTTTATATTTTGTAATATTTGCGTGTTTTTAAATAAAATATATTTTAATCAGTGTTATTGGGTGCGACGTAATGAATTAAATATTTTATTCGAAACCCTATACTAAATCATAACTAGCCATAATTTCAGGAACAAACACTGACGATTATGATTATTCTGTACCATAAAATACAGGATGGAGAAAATCTTATTTTGTTCTCTCCTTGGCTGTAAATAGCAGGCAATAAAAAGGCAGCTTGCTATAGTCCTGAGCCAAGTAAAGGATGATACTTGGTGATGCTACGTAACTTTTAAGGAAATAAGAATATTTTTTACATATTTTCTAGCAAGAGATTTAATGCATTATATATTTCTACATGTTTCAGTTCAATTTTTATTTTGATACTTCGAATGTTGGCGAAAGAACTTTCGAAAGCGACAAATTTCAACTTTTTCATAGTAATTACTCCTATTATAATACGGGTTTTATAAAAATTCTGTCGCACGTATGGTTTAAGGGCATAACGAGCGCAACGCGGGGTGCCCGAAAAGAACAAAATGTTTTATAAACGAGCTATCATCCTTTACGCAATGTTTAAAACAATGAAATTTCGAGATATAGGGATTTTTGCGGCAGTTGGCAAGATTTACAGAATGTAAGGGTGACGGCAATGGAAAAAAAAATTTAACTGTCATTAACTTGAAATGTCATTACATATGTACTTGTAAAAATGAATTTGGAAGGTGTGAAGACGTTGCTTCCTATAAAATCGCACCAAATTTATGAAACCAATAAAAAAAAAGTCGAAATGGAAGAAATTGTATGTTTGGGGTACTCTATATAGACTGTACAACTTTTAGACCCGGTTTACAGATTTTGTCAAATTTTGGATCTAATATCAGATATACATCAGAATAAAAACTGGGTGGGCAACATTTTTGTGGGAATAAAATCTAAAACTCCAAATGAATAATTAAAATATTAGATTTAATGGTAATAAACTGCAATTGATCATTCTTATATTACAAGTTCTTCTGGTATTTAGTTTAACAAAGAAAAAACGTAGAAGTTGGGAAAGACGAAAATAACCTGAAAATAAATCAAGTAAAACCTGCTGGCACATACGTATTTATGTCTCGCTTACACCTGAGGATCATCATACATTTCCTTTAATTTTTTATATAAAATTCCATGCCAACCTTATAACTACATTGTTTTGTCATTTTTGGAGTTTTTAAGATTTTGCATCTCTATTTTCACTAATAAAGTTCACTAAATAAGAAGTAACTTCTAAATACAGTTTATTATAAGCACGTGACAAGCCGTTGTGAATTAAAATTAAGTTACTTTACAATTGTATAAAATTGTTTTCAATTATAGTTTGACATGTCTTACCACACCACCAACTCTGCTAAGTAACAGAAAAATTTGTACCAGGAAAGCGACAACTTTCACATGTTTCACTGTATATTAAAATAATGACGTTTGTACTACTCAAATACAAATTGTTTTTCCGTAACATATATCTCGCAGTCAAAAACTTGCAATTACTTCATAAAATGAAAATATACAAACGCCCAGAGTTAACAAACCTTCTAATAATAATTGCAATTGAGTGTTCTTTCCGTTATCAATTTCAGAAATAATGACCATTATATCTAGTCCACTATAATTAAAATTATTGTGATAAAACAACGATAAGTCGTAAGTGCAAAAAACTTATCGCCATTTTGCATTCCAAATAGGACGCTTAAAACTAATGAAAGTACGTGAAGGCAAAGGGTTCACGTACCCTCCTCGAATTCACCCTTTCTCATTCCACATCACCATTGATTTTCAGTCCTTGCAATATAAAGCGGCGCTTGCGTAAAATTCATATGTACGCCTTTATAATTTCGTCTAAATATCCGGGACGCTATCTCCAAGAGACAATATTAAAATCAAAGCGAAGAAACCGGACCTACAGCTCAAATTTGTTCGCAAAAATTTCGATCAAGGAATTTTTGGGATGCATCTTCGGTTCAGCTTGAATAAGTAAGAAAAAAATCGACCTGCAAATTGATACTCAATGTTTTTAGGACTTCAAATCCGATTATGTTCAGCACAGTCATATTTACAATTTTCTAAATTTAAATTGTAGGACTGATGGGTTAATTGTTTGAGGGCGGGTTTTTTTTCCGTAAAAAAGCCTGTCATTCAACGTCAAAAGATATCTCACTCAAAAGACTTGTTTATTGTGGAAGTTGACCCACAGGGTAATTCAGGTATATATTTAACACGTTTTTTAACTTCATCGATAATCTGAGAGTGAAATTTTTTAAACTATGTGAGAAATAAATGTGGTCGTATTTTGATATTCAACACAGTTCAAATTGAATTCTATGAAAGCGCATATAGTTGAAAATTACAGAAAAAATATGTTCTGATACTTATTTATCAGAAAACGAATCTGGAGTTCCTCAAGAAAGTGTATTAAAACCTACTCTTTCCTTGACTGACACGATTTTAATTATATAAATATTGGTAGCATTTATTTTACTTGGGGATACTTTGTTAACTTATGTCAGTGAAGATTGAAGCACATATCAATGTTTTGAGTTTATTTCCAAAAGAGTTGTTCTTTGTAGCCAGAAAATGTCAAAATCTAGATGCTTATTAGTCTATAATAGACATTTATTTAATTAAGAGTTTATAAGGTGATATTTTATGTGACGCAGTGTGGATGATTAAACGCCGAGCGAAAGCGAGTTGATACGAGTTACATAAAGTCGGTTAAACTCGGATTGAAACACAATATTTTATTTTCAAAAGATTAAAATATTCTTTTCAAACAATTATTTTCTGTCCGCTGCTTCATTAAAAAATTACCTTGCATTGTCTTATCGTAGTTGACAACCACGACGATTTTCACATAAACATATTCTATTTATACTCCGTCGGAGTATAAGTGCTACTTACACGCGGTTCAAACTTGCCGTCATAGAAATGAGAATTAAACTCCGGTCAATTATATGTCGTTTGAAAATAAAGTACGTTTGTCCAATTCATTGTGCCTACGGTTCGTCGCTTTAAAAGAGATGTATCAGATGAAACAGTCACTCAGTTTTTTTTTTTTAAGATTTAATTGAAACTCATGTACAGATCAAATTATATACATACTTGGATTTCTAATTAATTGAGATTTTTTTTACACATCATCTGTTGAAGACAAAATTTTTCGGAGAAGTCTTTTGATTCATTTTGGAAACGATCATAGAAACAATACATATTCCGAACCCATGTCGAAAGTTTTTTTACGGCACTCGTTAAAAAAAAAATCAAAGTTACCTTCGAACACGAATTAGAATTAAAACCACCCCTCGGTGTCTGTTTAACCGTTCGCAAATTTGTCGATTTGAATAAATTTAAACGGTGCGGGGCGCGAACCGGCAACAATGCGACCACCGTCTTTCTGCTGCAGATGCGGACCCAAAACCTGTTTACCTTCGCCAAGAAACGAGATGGTAATGTAGTCTCCTCGGGCACTGTGGGCTGGATCCAGAACCCGGGGTGAGAGCCGTAAAGTCGCTTTTTACAACCAAATTTTATATAAACCGCCAACCCCAACGTTAAATCGAGCGTTCGCACGTTTATCTATTTTCTTAGGTTACCGATCATTAATGAATCGATTTTTCTTCGTGAGCAAAAACAATGAATAGCAATTTTGACAAACCAGAAACGATTTTTTTACGTAAAGGTTAATGGCATACGGGTCTCATGGTCATTAAATTGTTGCTACAAAAAATTGTGCCCCGGAGCAACATTGAAATTATTCGGTCCGGCGAGGTTTTCCAGCGCGGGTTTTATCAATGGAAAGAGTTTTAACGATTTTCACAAAAATTCAGCGCGGAGGAGTGGCGGAAATAAAAGCTCACATGAGAGAGCTTTCGTGTCGCAAAGAAGTCGGAACGGTGTCATTATGTCGAACAATATTTCTTCATACAACGAAATCCCGAGTTTAATAGGATTTATGACATTACGGGTTGTGCTTGGAGTGATTGTGTGGGATACGAAATCGAAGAAAACGTCTCCAGGAAAAAATATCGTTGAATTGCCAGATTTTCCCGTCAGAAACTTTACGGGAGAATGTTTATTAATCAATCTTATAATTTCGTAATTAAAGTTTGTCCTATTATTAGCATCATTGAGCAATTACTAGTGCGCGATTGAACACGGTAGTTTTACATAATTGACAAAAGTGCAATATTTTGATTAAATTTGAATCGATACCACCAAATACTCTTTCTTTAATGTACAAATCTTACATTTTATAGATTAACATTAAAAATACTAATATGTGTTCCATAAGAAAGAATAGTGTTTTCACGAAAGTAAATATACCACGGTTTAATTTATAAAATCGGTAAAATTTAAACAATTTGGAAAAAAAAAAACACACTCCCTCTGAGATAAATGTTATACCTACACTTGGGCTTCCAATATATACATAAAATTTGTATCGGAAATTACTCTTTTTGTTAAAAAAGTAGCGGTCAGGAGAAGGACCGCCCCGTAACCAATTAGTTCATAACCAAATCCATAAAGCCCTAAATCTTGAAAAGGCGTTATTACGTATAATTATAATGAAAGTTTTATAGGAACGTGTTTCATTTTTAATTTCAAAATGTAATTAGTAATCACACGTGGTCAGAAAAATTAATAGGTTGTATAGCCAAGTGCTCCTTTAGCTATAAACGGTCATTTCTTATTTAATCCACAATTTCGTCATTCATTCATCGGGTACTTTTTCACTACTACCCACAAATACAGATAAATTTTGCATGGTTGTCTTCAGACTCTGCATTTGTTGGGTGGAAAAAGTCCTCTTCCAACGAATTAAAAATAACTTTTTTATGTTATTGAAACCTCCAAAACACCAAAGAAAAAGAATTTACTAGCTTCTAAAACTGAATTAATCCTCAAGCAATATTTCCAATTTAGATGTACGACACATTTAACAAGGGTGTAACCAATGTGCTACGCACTAAATTTTTAGAGATATACACTGTTTTTTCTTGTAAAGTAACTGTTTTGACATTTTAAGATTGTAAATGTATTGACCTTGTTATTTTATAAACTCAGTAATTTTTTAAGGCGTAACTATAATACAAATCTACAGCTCCAGTAAAATATTAAGACCCAGTTTACAGAAGCTCAATTAAATATTTGATTGCAATTAAATTTTGAACACGGAATTAAACAGTACCATGTGACCGACTCTACGCCAATCAGACGTCGCTAAACGCCTCGATAAATGCGTGATTAACTTAATCTCAGTTAAAATATTCCATAAAGTGGCTTTGGAAGTCTCAAAATTTGGAGCTTTTATTGCATCACAAATAGAATAAAAATGCGAAGTGAATAAGCGAAATGCTAATAAAAACAAGTTTTTATCCTTCCTCAACAAGATAATACAATTCTAAAAGCTCTTGTTCACAAGTAAATCATGACAGAACATTTGTCTCGTCGGTGTTTTCCTAAGGCTCTTTATTTCGTATAAGTACGGTCCTCTCACAACTGAAAAAATATTTAGACAGAATCCATTTTTACTTCCCGAGCCTACGCTAAGGAAGTATTGTAATGGAGTCCATCGGGCGACTGGCTGATTTCAAATTTTCTCGATGGGACTAGGGCCCGGATTTTGGGATGTTAACATTTTCGTCAATTCTTAGCGCGAACGTAAATATGTCTCATGAAAAATAACGTTTTTTGAACCCACATTATTTTTGCCTGAACACCTAAATTTAGTATTTGCGACCTAAAATTATGTTTTATGACCCAAACGATCTACTCCTAAAGTATCTTTTCCTAAATTTCACGTTCAATTGTGTATATCTGGTCTTTTCTTAAAATGCCGATTGCAGAGTAATAAATTTTATTGCATCCGCACCCGTCGAAAACCCCATGCAATAAAAGATGGTACTGTTGTCGAATCTGTTTCTTTTCGTCACGTTCGGGTGTGTTGGTTTTCAAAAACCTCACTCCCATCCCAACTTTTCATTTAAATTTAAAAGCTTTGCGCAGTGGCAGTATCGTAACCGATGAGGTCTATCCGAGGTGCGATTATTGCTTGTTGAAAACTTTAAATTTAAAAGATTTTCGGGACTAGTTCTACAAACATTTTAAATCGCCATGTCGAAAGAAAAAACTGCTATTAAAAGTTAAAATTATGCAATGGATAAAATCTGCTGGTGACACTAGCATTTTTCAGATATTAAACGAGGGCCAAGAAATATTTTGTAAAGCTTGAGACAAAATAGTACGTAAAAACTACAATTAATATCTATTAAACTACTTCAGGTACGTTTATTTAAGTTTACGTACACGAAGAAATCACATTTAGAGCAGCAGATCCGCGGGGAACTTCACAAAAATAATGTGAATAAACCGTTACGTCAAAGTTGATTCATGCAAGCTTCAGTCTCTGCCACAACCAATCGAAAATTTTATTTAGAAATGTATAAAGCTTTTATTGCCGCGAACATTCCTTGAAATAAATTGCAGTGCCCACAATTGAAGAATTTTCTACAGAAATACACCAGTAAAAATATTCTTGACAAGTCTACCCTTTCAAAAAATTATCTGTTTTTGTGTTACAAACAGGTAATTTAAATGTATAGTTTTTAGAGTTGTATTGTATTAATTTTTCTTTTATAGACTCAACAAAATAAGAAAGTGAAATTATGTGTGACCGACGGCACAGCATATATGTCCAAAGCGGGAACAAATTTAAAATTATTTTACGAAAATCTTCAACACTTGACGTGTGTGAGACAATGCGCCACCAATTAGAAAATGTCGACGGTTTTGATTTTAAATGCGAACAAAGTATTTTTAAAAGCTCCAACGCGAATCCAGTATTACAAAGAAATTTTGATAAATTTTCCTTTACCGTATGAACCCCCACTGACAAGGTGGAGGACGTTGATTAGAGCGGCGTTATTTTATGCGGAACATTTTATTATTTTTATTATTATTGTAAATTGTTCATTGGTAATTTTGATGACATAAGTGGCGTGAGTGGCAAATTCTTTAGATGATTATTTTTGATTTTTTTTTTTTGCAGGTTGTAATGAATTTAAATCCAGATGCACAATGTATTGAACAGGACAGACAGACAGACAACAACAGAAGACCTATGTTTTCGTACTCTTGGGGTCGTAACCCATTGAGAAAATATGAAAACAGCCTGTGGCCCGATGGACTCGATTACCATACTTCCTTAGCTTACGCTCGGGAAGTAAAAATGAGGAAGAGTCCAATTATTTTAAGAACTGTTTGCTAGAAGATTAATGTACTATTTTCTTTCGTTAGTACACTACACAGGGATTAAATGAGTTTGGTGTTTTATTTAACCTAAAATAATGTCAAGTGATAGATCAAGTGAGTTTTACCATTGTTAAGGGGCCTTGCATTACTTTTTAATGCAATGCTTGTAACAAACACACGCAACTCTTCCGAGTTAAATCTCAAAAAGGAAAATGTAGTACGCTACGAAATTGGGAGCAATTTAATCGGAAAATTGTAACGGAAACAACTTAGTTATCACATTTTTAAACTCCAGTTCTAGATCTGTTTGTAAGTTAATTGTCGACATATCGTAAATAACAACAAAACTAGGTAAATAAAACGTGATTAATATTGAATTAATACACAAAAGTATCAAAAATATTGTTAACCTTGACATGTGAATATCAGCTAATACTTTTACAATTGATTATAAACAAAACTAAATGTAATTTCCTCGTTCTTTACGTAACACTTTCCTTCCGTAAAAACTCGCAACTTTTCATTGAATCCGACAGCCGTCGTCTCTTTACTCCAAACAAAAGTTAAACGAAGTTGCGAAGTCAAAGAGTGTTTTATCAAGTTTTTTCAATTGTTTTCGAAACCACACTTGAACGACTTTAAATTACCCTTACGAAGCATTTTTTGCCCTTGAAACTTTTCCCTTTTGCACGAAAACGGAAACACCCTTTCAAACAAACAAGTAAACGCTTACCTTCCACCTCTCGGCACACTTTTTCGAGAATTCTGCAAAGACGACATTCTCCTCGGGATGTTTCTTCTTGTGCTCTTCCCTGCAGGTCTGCACGAAGAATGCGTAAGCGGTCATGCGACCTCTTGGTCTGGCATCAGCTTTAGCACGCGGCATCCTTCCTTTGTTGTGGTTCTGCTGCAAAACGTTGGTCACCTGTTGATGCTGTTGTTGATGGTGGTTGTTTTGCAACTGTTGCTGTTGCTGCTGCTGCAACTGCTGCTGTTGCAACTGTTGCTGCTGCTGCTGTAATTGTTGCTGTTGCTGCTGCTGCAACTGTTGTTGCTGCTGCTGTTGCTGCTGCAACTGTTGTTGTTGCTGTTGTTGCAACTGTTGCTGCTGTTGCAGCTGTTGTTGCTGAATGTGTTGGTGCCTAGCCTGAGCTTCGGCTATCGCTTGGTGATGCTGTTGTAAAGCAGCCTGCTGCGCCTCGGCCTGCTGTCTGTGCACCTCCTGCTGATGACGCTGCGCCTCCTGGTGCCTCTGCTGCGCGTCCTGCTGCTGCTGTTGTCTCTGGGCGTCTTCTTGTCTCGCTTGGACCTCTGATTGCTAGAACAAATAATACCACTCACATTCTATCACTTGCAGCTACCGAAATTGGAAAACAAAGTTAACAATGAGCATGCTGCTGGTGTTTGATGAACAATGTGGGTAAGCTAATGTTAAAAAACTTTTGAAACGAATCCTAGAAAACTGAGTACTGAATTAGAAAGCACTATACAAAAATTGGTCGAAGATTCGACAACCCAACAAATCTCGCTTCGTTGAGCAATGATAAAATTTTGCTTTTGCGAGTTTTGTTTTGTGACGACCTTTATAATTTTATAAAAGATCAGTCGTGCAAATAACACATTCACAGTGTCTGGACCGCAAATTCCAACAATGTATTATCACCACATGTTTAACTTCGATTTGTGTCTGTTTACACATCGAAAGAATCCGACAATTAAGTATGTAGTAAGCTGCCTGATTTGAATGATTTAAATCTCCTTGAAATATAGGAGGCCAATAAAATTAAGTTACGATGCAAAACGTTTGGATAAATAGTTATTATAAATCTTAATTTATTATTATTAAAAGTAGGCGGGCGCAACATTACTGTATTCCGAATTTTCGAGAAAATTGATCAATAACAAAATTGTGACTCATGAGTTAATGGCACAAGCAACCTTCGCCTTAGCAATTCAACATTTTTACGGCACGACCACCGATGTACCAGACATCACTGCTCTTATATTGATATAAAACATTTAAGATGCAATTTGAACTCCGCGAAAATCTGGAAGTATTGTACAACAAATCTCGCTTTTACGAAAAATTATGTGGTTTCATTTTGCAGATTATCAATTCAACTTTGAAATTACAAAACCGAATGCTCTGTAGTAGTAGTTACGGTAAATCATTAATCAAAATTTATTCGTTTATCCCCTCTCAAAAAATTATTGCGTCATCTCAAAATTTTGCCGAATAAATCGTACCTAATTTAAGCAAAATTAATACTACGAATAAAATCAATCATTTTATTGGGCAAATCAAAAACGGCTCACCGTATTTTCCCGAAAATTTGGATATAAGGTTATTTATGCGACTGGTTTTTACTTTATAGGTAGAGGTTTATCATAAAACAAACATGGCAAAATTTAATTTTACAATTATTCAAAGAAGCGGATTTTTTGGATTTGTACTTCGGACGCGAAGGATGATGTGTCGAAATAAACTTCGCACTATTTTTTTTTAATAGTCCATATCTAATCGTTTGCTACGATTATTGACCCAGACGAATACACAAACTCTGGTTAGTTTTCACTATCTTCACAAGATAGCTTCGAAAAATATCCTGCAACAAATCGTCTATAGACCACAAACTTTAGACAAATTGAAACCATAGTAGATCGTCATTTTTGTATACAATGACTGTAAAACCTCTAGAAAATACGATGCGTTTGATATTCGTAATATATCTATATAAAACAATCATCCCGCAAATATCGCTTGGGCAAGTTAAAGTATAATAATTAATTAGAAGCCGTCTATGGACACTTTCGTAGTGAACATACTTCAACCTTTTGCTCGATACCACGTAACTGAGGTCGAGAAACAATACAGTTCTGAAGCAAAAACACGAAAAATTTGAGCAAGAATGCCGATAATTAAACGGAGAGATTAATTAAAATGCGCTGGCAGGTTTATGGCGGTCAATTATTTCGTTCTCGGGCGCACCCAAGATGAGACCACCTGTCCTGACCTCCAATGTGCGGCCGTTGAGGCTGATAATGACCCCTACGAAGGGGAGTTATTATGCACTACTTCACTAACTAACTTACGATATCGCTTTACATCACCAAAGCGCCCGATGAAGATTTGCATTACACGCTTAATTCTATTGTTAAACTAAACAGTAAATCGATCGGGCGACAAAATTACTAAATAATTGTTGGAACCCACCCCGGTGTGTTCTAAACAAAGGAGAATGGTTTTCAGGCGGTGTAATTTCCTTCACATAAATCTTTGTTACATATTTTTTAATTAATACTGGAATATCCTGTGGTTTACTAAAATTATAGGTACAATGCCTGCATGAGAGAACTGGTTTTGGCTCGGGCTGGACATATTGAACAACATAAATTAATAATCTCTTGGCAGACATTTTTCTGGTTTAATGAAAGCCCATGCCCCATTATTCATTAATTGGCAATATTTTTGCGTCACGATTTTTGCTATAATAAGGAAAATTTTGCAAGGATAGCGTCACTTCGTAAATGTCAGAGGTCCAAACGCGGATATATTTTGAGAGTCAATCAATCAAGAAAATTCTGACAGGCGAAGTCCGGGCTGGAAGTCGACACATTAAATTGAGTTTCATGAATAAATGAAACGAAGCACTACGAGTCAATTTTTTCTAACCACGTTAAAGCATTATTTTATTTAAGTATTTTACTTGCAGTTTTTCGAAGTTACTTGGGGGAGATTGGGGGGCTATACTGGAAGCTGCACATTATTTTACAAAAAAAAAAAAAAAAAATCCGTGATGTTAATAATAAACTTAATTTAATCTGTTTGACAAATCAATAAATTAGCAATTTAACTTGAACGAAAATTGTGAAAATATAGAAACTTCCGTGTTATACATTATACGGGTAAACCGTAGAAAGGAATTACTTCAGAGAAAACTGGTGGTAATTTTTTGTGTAGAATAAAGAAATACAAAAACTATGTTTTGCAAGCAGGGTTTTTCTAAGACTTCAACAATACCACATTAAAAATTGTGGAACACTGTAATTCGTGTAGTCATGTAATTTTTTTGTTATCAAAAATACAAATTTGATGTGCACATAAAATGAATAATGATAAGAATAAACACATTAAAAATATGAAAGGAAAATTATTTCTTGGGTGTTGATTCCTAATATGCATAAAATTTTTAACCGTATGGTCGTCCATGTATTGAATATAAAGACCCCGATAGTATTACAGTTGTTGGTTAAATCCGAGACCATGGTTACATTTTTACCAAAAATTATGTAAGTAAATGTTGTAAGTATATTTTAAATAAATCGTATGACAAGTAAAAAAAAAATGGTCGGAGATTGTTACGATAGAACAGATAGAAGAAGTACAACAAACAAAATCCAGCTTTTCCGAAAAATTATAAAATTTGAATATGCCAATTATATTTTTTATGAGAACATGTATAATTTAAATAAAGTTATGTGTGTAATCTTAAAATACGCATATTTTCCTTAACAAAATTTGGCGATGAAGTCATTAACATTTTTGCAAAGACACGGTTATCTATCGTTTTAGATAGTGTAATACTAATGAATAACAGTATTGTATTCCCAAATTTTCGACAAAATGGAGTGAGCCGTTCCCGATTTAATCAATAAAATAAACTGACCCTTTAATTGTTCCGAATCAGGTCCACGCACAATTCAAAAAGTTTTAATGCAATGATAAATCACAAACAAGTATAGACTAATCATATTTTGCACATTTTGGATGGCATTTATTCGGCACAATTTTGAGATGAAGGCACCAATTTTTTTAAGCGATATACATATATTTTGATTAAACATTTACTTTGCTTACGATAACTTTAAAACGCCTGCAAGATTTCAAAGAATTCGGTTCTGCAGTTCCTGATATTAATCGATAAAATAAATTGAGTCATTTATTATTTTTTTTTTGGGTCCGCCTGAATACGTAATTCTACAAACTAAATGCGTTGAGAAACCACAAGTATAGAGTAATAACAATTTGGATATTTCAGATAGGATTTATTCGGCAAAATTTTGAGATGACGTCATCAATTTTTTGGGAGCGGATAAACGAATAAATTTTGATTAACGATTTACTATGATTGCAATAACCTTAATACGTTTGAAAGATTTCCAAGAATTCGGTTTTGCAGTTTCGAAGTTAAATTGGAAAATAATGTTACATAAATTTGAATTTTTTCCCAAAAATCTGGATGTCTAGGGTGAAAACTCGACAACGGATTCATACACCTTAAGTATAGAAGAATCTTATAAAAAAAATACTATTTAAATTTTGGAGATGACACCATCCCATTGGTGTTGGGGATGATAGCCAAATTTGTGTCAGCGTTTTATCTACAAGATATCCCTAATATACATACGAATAGTTTCCGTGATAACATGGAGGAAAAAAAAACTGGACAGAATGATAACTTTTTGCTTTAACCGACAACTGAAATACCGGGCCTAGGAGTTTCATTGGAGATTCTGAATGGGCAAAATATAAAAAAAAACTTTTGTGTTTATTTACTCATGAGTGGCGATTAATGCAACTAGTAGATAGTTCCATGGTTTTACTTTAAAATTTTATCATATCTGTTGGCGTGGATGCGTCACTACTTTCGAAGGTTTTTTTTAGATAATTTTCGCAGAAGTCAAAAGTACGTATAGAGGCACTGACACACGAAAGAGACAAATCAGTAGTAAAAAACTACACTCAAATTTCATTGCAAAATAACACTAGTGAATAAGTACTACACAAATCTTTGATAGGACCTATAATCCCTAATCTTCTACGTACGCAATAAATTTTAAAATAAAGACGGCTCGGTCTATACACTTAAAATCAGTCAAAAACTAACATGTAAATCAATATGTTGATAGAAAACTTAAAATCTATTTTTTGAATGAATTTTATCAATCGATAAAATAATTACTATAAAAATATTCCGCGTAAGCAATTCTAATTAAGTAGTGAATAATAATTAATTTAATATTTCGAGATGACGTTAGAAGCTTTCTAGAGAGCATTTTAATAAGTATTTTTTATTAACTTTATCCACGCTTTAAACTGCTAAATTAAATTATCAAAATTACATGTTGTGGAATCTAAAGTACATTAATAATAGAAAATAATTTTAAAACTAAGCCAAAAAAGTGACGTGTTAATGTTTTTACTTTACAGCTTATCACAAAACAAACATAACAAAATCTAATTTTATAATTTTTTAAAGAACCGGGATTTGTTGGACTTTTATTTCAGAAGCGAGGGAAGTTTTGTCATTAAAGTGCAAACGTTGCATCTACAACAAGATTCCTTAAATAAACATATACGTATTTAATACATTTTTGCGATGACGTATTTTACTTTCTAGAAAGGACAAATGAACACTTTTAAACAGTGACTATATTCCTTAAATGAATGTTGAGTACTTTCCCAAAACATAAAAATTCGTTTCAGCGATCATCATTAAAAATGTAACTATTAACTCAGATACACTTTCAGCAAGATAAACTTAAAAAAAAAAAAAGTTTCAAAGCAATCGGTTACGCATTGTGTCTATAAATGACGAGCACTCGTTGGAAAATTTTAATTTTTTTAAATTAAAGAATTTTGTTGCTTGTTAAGAAACGATGTTCTACGAGTACTTTTACAATCAACATTTAAATAAGTCACAAAATTTTGAAAATTGCTTCCATCTATAAATAAAACCTAACCCTCCTTAAAGGTACTGCTATGTACCACGACTGTATGAATCACTTTGTAGTTCTTAAGTTAAAATGTAAAATTTTGTTAAATTCGTTCCTAAAAAACTGTTCACAGGAAACTAAGAAACGAAATAATACATCACGAGTACAGAAGCAGAGAAGAGATAAATTTTGATTAGAGATTTACGAAGTTCACGGCGACGTAAAGCCTGTGCAAAATTTTGTAGGTTAAGTGAAACTGTGTTTTTTTTCTTTGGACAGGATTTACTTAGCAAAATTTTGAGATGACGTCATTACATTTTTGGTAGGGATGACCAGACAATATGTTCACGTTCATTACGGTAGTAACTTGGTTTTCATAGGCAATTCCGGTTCTTTGTGAAATAATTTTCGATACGACCCCAACAAAAATTAAAACAGGATGAAAGTAACTGGTAGCAAAAAGTCTTCCGGTGATCGGAACGATGCGAGGCAAGAATTTTAGCGTATTAAACGACGGTAGATTCTCCAAAAATAGTGCAAGCGCCCAAAGATACAAAACTGTAGGGAGCATGAACTTTTAAACAAAGTCTGAAGTGAACATGCAACAGTTACATTTGAGAAAAATAAAATAAAATACACAGGAGCCTGCGATTTAAGTTTTATGAATACATTCAGGTTTCGGAAAAAAGTTCAATATACTGAAGTGGTTTTAATGGCTGTTTTATAGCCGAACTTTCAGCAATTTATGAAATAAGGCGCACCTGCTTCGGGTTCCTAATTTTTGGCGTCTGCAATCCAGCGCGTACAGTAAACAGGAAAGTGACAACCCTCTAGGAGTTCGAAATTGCCGGCAATTACAACGTTCCGAGCATTAACGAAATAATAGCTATTTTTGAGATTTCTCTTTCGTTCGTTCGCAGCAAAGGGCCACGGTTCCACGATTCCGAGGCACCCTCGCGAACCGTCTAGACAAAGAAGCGGCTACGTCCATAAAATTCGGGTGTAAAACCGGCAAGATCGCTCGGTTTTGTGCGCGGCTTCGGCCGACGAGGGTCAGAGACAGGTAGGCGGATTAGCCTCCGGAGCCGGGGGTTCGCGGCGGCATACGTACCGGGGGAGGGGGAGTCTGTACAGGTGGCATGGTCTGTTGTTGCTGCGACTGCTGCTGTTGCAAATTTTGTTGTTGCGTCTGCTGCATATTCTGTTGCATCGCGTGCATCGCATTGTCCATAGTCGCGGGCGGGTACCACCACTGCGTTTGGGGGGGCGGCGCGCCGCCCGCCGCCCGATAGTCGTAGCTGGGGGCGCGCGGCGTCGTCGACGCCGTCGTGGCGGGGCTCTGGAAGCTGCTGGCCATTTTGTACGAGAACAGCTGCTGGTGCGGGCCGCCGCTGCTGACCGTGGCGGCGGCGTCGTGCTGCACCATGTGCTGCTGCGGGGGCGGCAGCAGGTGCTGGTGTTGCAGCTGCTGCTCGGGGGCGGCGACGACGCCGGGCCACCACATCGCGTCGCCCCAGGCGCCGCGGTGCTGTTCCGACATGGCGCTCACGAAACGAGGGAGAGACGGGCCACCCTAAAACCGTCCACCATTCACCGTGCGACGATCATCCTGATTTTAAACGAACGCGGAAACTTTACGAGCACGCATATATATATGTGTATCTGTGTCTATGCGTGTGTGTATGTACGCGCTCACTCGCACACGCACCCCGGCACCACTGGACATGGACGAGGACCGAACTTCGAACGAAAGGTGTGCGCGCCTAGTTCGAACCACCGCTTCACGAAATCTGGCAACACGGAAAACATAGGCGAGGGACGCCAATACCGGCGACGGAGGCAGCGCCCTCACACGCAGCGGAGCCACGGGGAAATATGACCGGCATTCGCCCGCTCCCCGGACCCCCCCGTTATCCAGCCGGAACAGGAGACCGGTCGAGAGACCGCGCCGAAGCGCGCATGCGCTCACCCCGTTTTGGCGCCACATTTTTTGCAAAAACATCGTTTTCAATTTCGTCACGATTCTTACATGAAAATACAAAAGGTACCGCTACGCAGAGAATCTTGAGTTCTTCAATTTCTTGATATTAAATGTGTTTTTCATACAAAAAGCACCTTGTGAGTGGCTTTCATGAAAATCATAAGCCACTGTTTTTCTTTTTTCATTTTTTACCTATTCCTCTATTTGCTCTTTAACACATTTATAAAGTCTTAAAATATATGTTCAAGTGCGGGATGTTTCGTTCGCAAATTACAAAAAGAAAAATTTTTTTTTTCTGAAAAACTAATATTGATAAAAATGAATTTTATTGCTGGCATACTTATCAAAATTAAAATAAATAATAAAAAATGACCTACAGTGTAAAAGGATTACGTATTTCCTTAATAATTTTTTTATAATACCCTTTTCAAGCAAATAATAAACTTTTTATTGAATTTTGATGTATAACCCCAAACAAAACTTGGTTGCGATTTAGAAATTAAGGTTTCTCTTATTGTCATGAAATAAAAACCATTACAAATTTTTAATCTGGTTAGCGTTAAGACTAAGTACACGATATTCTAGAAGCGGGAGCCCGACATCTTATTTAGAATCAGCGATTTGTAAAAACCCTATTGCAATACCTCCAGTAGAAGTAAAACGTACAAATATGTGGCGGCATAATTTTCTAAGAAAGAAATTAGGATGTTTTATCGAGCGAGCAATGTTAGTCAGGGGATCAAAATTTTATTCATTTTACTACTCTCCTTAAAAACTACTTTTAATCACTTGTTAAATATAAATGATAAAAACTTAAATTTTGTGAACTCTTGCTCAGTTAATACAATAACAAATAATATGAAAATGAAACTTGGAGAAAACCTTTAACCATCCTCGTCATGAAAGTGTCACTTTACTTAAAAAAATTTTAAACCGAAAAACAACAAAAAAAATTAAGACAACTGTAGAAAAAACTTTGTAATGGTTAAAATATCCATGATAATTAGCAATCAAAATGTACACATTAGAAACAAATATAAAATAAAAAATAAACGACTACACTCATCATTAGTTTCTATTTTAGCCGATTTACATGAGAGTTGGAAATAGTACTTTTTGGTGATGAATTTGACTTTATTTTTGAAAATGGTAAAATAAATATGTTTTAAAGCATACTTCTACACCCAATTTATCCCAGGTAGTTTAAAAGTCGCCAACAGTCATAGTTAATTTGCATGATAACTGGCAGACACCAGGATTACTGCTTGCCGACATTTGGGCCTTTCAAAGAACGAGGGCTGGATTAGTGGAGTTTAAATATACTTTTACAACTTCTACCTGATCTTACCCGACTTCCTCGAAAGGTCTCTTAAACCTGAGTCACCGTCAATAGTTTTGAGAATTATCTTTCAGAGGTACTCCCCGACAAAACAACACCCCTAGAGCTATAATACGATCAAGAAAAGATAACCATTTTGAACCATTACATATTTTTGAAACTGTCTCTAATTAGTAACAAGTAGTTATAAAATGCTCCTTGAAGGCTAACATCAATCAAAATTAGAAACGAGGTACATTAATAAAGAATAAAAGACTTTCACACTAAACGTCGATAGATGACATATAACTGCAACAAAGAAATCCAAAATCGAAACTATCGAAACTTCCCATACTAATAATTTGTGTAACTTGGAAGCGATTCTCAACAGTTTTTCAAAAATTTACAATTAAAAAAAAAAAATAGAATGAATCAAACAGTAATATGTTGCATACTTAAATGAAATTTTAGTCCTTGATATGAATGACAACCACGAAACGTACGAATCATTGTGACGGAGTAACAATAATAATTTGTTAATTGCAGTATTACACCAACAAAATTTAGTAAAAATATGCAGGACTTTTTGTTACGTTTAATGCGTAACCAATTAATTTTGATTCTAATTGCAGTCATCACTTTTGGGTAAATTTTTTGAACTCATTTTTCTAGTTTTACGAAATATTACATTAAAAAATGAATGTTTTACTGATTTATATACGAACGAATGTGTGGCAATAATTAAAATGAAAAGTAAAAAGTACAAAAAAGTTATCAAAAATATACGTAATTAACTCCCTTGGTCATTTACGATTATGATAGAGCGAAATCGTTAAATGTGTGCGACTGTATTTTCATTTTCTAGAATAATTAAACCAGCCGAGGAGATTTTATGGCAACCCCCACGGAGTAGTCATTATGTGTTTCAAAAATTGGAAGTATGTAGTTAAATCTCAGTAAATATCATCCTTTGTCTAAATTCTGACGAATATTCAGGATTCGATGTTTTTCATAAATATTTTTTAGCTATACAACAAACAATAAGAAAGTTTTAAAACGAACAAAATTCACTAGATTTCATGTGTTGTGTCACTTTAAAATTGCCATTCGTTTTCCTTCTAAATTCAATTTTCCGTAATTTGACGAGTTAAAATTCACTTAGTACTTGATCCCTAAAAAAAGTTGTTTAAAACGACGATTTCACAGTAATAGCAAACAGCAGTAATTTTCCTTTTTTTATAATTTAAGCACTGGATTTATAAAATACGGGGGCTGATTGTAGCCAATTTAGGCATTGTCTTTTGGTCCATTGTGCCTTCCGTTTTCTTACACTTTCTACGAATAAAATCGGCCACCAAAGAATTTTCGCCAGATGAATATTCCGAAGATCATCAGTATATATACAGGTTAGTATAAAGTCCCGGAACGGTCGAATAACTTTGTGATTTGAAAAGTTTGTTTCCTGAAATTTGCTTTGGATATATTTGTAGTTAAATATGACGACTTGATTACAACATTTTTTCTTTTTTTTATCGCTCTCGGTTTGACAGACAGGGCTGCCTACTTTTTTTCTTAATGGAACTACTTTTACACACAAAAGAAAAAACACCTAATATAGTAAAATCACACAATTCGTTGCGACATTTTGTTGATCGATTACATCACTGCCAAATTGTCAATGGAGAACATTTGAACATTTATTGTAGTCCCACTCATAGTTTATTATTTATTAGTATTTTCAAAAATGACGTGATTTTACAATATTTGGTGTCTTTTGTGACTTTTTTTTCTATTTTTTCTATCAGCAGAAATAATAAACATGTTGATAATTTCTGAAATTAGTTTTTTATTCTGTATCAGAAAATGTCAAAAAATCTGGGTGTTCCATTAAAAAAAAAGTAGGCGGATAAAAAAAGGAAAAATATTATAATCATGTCGCCATGTTTAACTATATATCCGCACCAAATTTCCAAAAAAAAAAGCTTTTCAAATAACAAAGTTATTCAATCTTCAATCGTTCTGGGACTAACCCTGTATATTTACGATCATTATGCATATTGATTTTCGATAAAGAGAATTCGCAAATATATATTTTAGAAAAATACAAAGAAAAATTTAAAAATTTCCAAGTTTTTTTTTTACAAAGATCATTTACCCTTCTCACAACGAATTACACGTACGTATTTAATTTTGTCATCACTATTTTTCCATTGTATTTTTTAGAAAATGCATATTTTTCGGAATAGCGTTGCACTCAGCAAAAGGTATTACGTACTTCTAATTCTAGTTTGGTTTCCAAACAACTAGATAGATAACCAACTAAAAGTGTTCTGAGTATTCTGTTTTGATGTTTAATTAAACACTGATTTTGTCGAAATCTGTTACGATATATGTATATAATATTATTATCTATTATGTTTCCGGCAGTGACAGCTGCCCCTAAAATATAAAGAATGCTACCTACTGACTTTTAGCAATTATGAAATAATTGTTCATGGAAAAAATCTTTGTCATAATTTCAAAACTATTTATCTACGTGATATACAGGATGGGTGAGACATCGAGGAACACGTACTTACTAACTCATCCTGTATATGTGAAATCAATATCTGTAGAAATGAGAGACGGATCAAGCAAAACGTTTAATCGTACGAAACATTTTTAAAAATATCGAAGTAAAATTTTATGTATTTAATAGAATAATTGTTCTCCTTTTGTCACAATAAATTCAAAATGAGGTTTGTTCTATGCCACAAAAAAAAAATGAAGATGTAAGCAGGTAATCACTGTGAATTAAAATTATTTTATTTATTATTTGGTCACACCTGAAAATATGTATAATAAATAAACTCATCTTCAGCTCGTTTTGAATATTTGCTGTCACGTAATTTGAAAATTTTACAATCCAAACAAAAATCTAAGAGTTGCGTCACGCACTTAAAACGTTATCTGTTATCTCACAAATGTAAAATCCTTATTAAAACAACATGGTAAATAAATGCTCTTAGGACAGAGGACCAGTAACAGTCCTATTTGAAACGGCAAAAACTAAATCTATACAAAAAATGAAAACACAAGAAACAAAATCAAAACAAATGTGTTAATCACCGTCATCTTCCGCGCCATAAAACCAAATAAATCGGCCATTGGTCGCCCCATCATAAAAAAAGAAAGCACGTCGCCAATTACCGCCAATTAAAATCCAGGTACATCCCGCCGCACCAAAAAAAAAACGTTTAAAAAAACCCTCCAATTAGCAAAATCACGCTATCATATCCCCAACCCCCGAGCTCTGCCCCTAATCAGAAATTTTTAATTAATTAAAAACCACGCATGCGCAGAAAAAAAATCGCCTAGCGTATCCACATTTATCAGGCTCCCGGTATCCGTCGCCCCCCCTGCGCCGCCGCCCCCGCCACCGGTCAATAAGACGACCAAAAATGCTCCCGGGCTCGCCGCCTCC